TTAACCTTTTTTCTCTGTTTGTTTTTTCTTCACTGCTTTATCAGTGTTATTTGCTCAACCAACAGTTGGCCGTGGTTCCCACAGTTTTTCTTTCTTTTATGAATTTTAGTCGTTCGGGGACCAAGGGTAAACTAATTGATAGGGGTTGATAGGGGCCGAGGACAGTAGGATAAAGGTGGACTGGTGTTCTTTGTGAAGACGATTCATGTCACGTCATGTGAACTTGTCCATGCTTTCCTCCCTAAATGCGGAACTGACCTGAATACTTACACTCCTTATCCCTGAGACGGAGTAGGCGTGGCCTTTGAGCACTGCATAGAATGGGTTGCTCGTGGGATATTTCAGTTGGAAACAACTGTCATTTTTTTCTGTGTTGAACAGAGACGCAACCCCGACAAAATAGAAATGTCTTTCCGAACGCATGAACACCTCCACGGATAGTTGAAGTACGTAGCCACGCCTACCTCATCCCAGGGATTTCGAGTGTATTTTGAGGCTCTGAGAAGGCTCGAAAAAAGAAGACGAGATGTGTGCGCTCTTGTTCGTTGCAGATGCTGAGGAGTGTCACTGGGGCTAAGTTTGGCGCGGTGCCAGCCCGTTTTCCACCAATTATTGTCGCTTGTCCGCTTTAACAATTGATCAAAAACTCGCTGGCACCGCGTTAAGCCCAGCCCTCTGACACGTCCTGGCATCCGCAGCGAACAAGGCTGTAGAGAAGACATCACGTGGAATAGTTGCGCCTGCGCTTGTCACTCTGAGACATCCTCTGGGCTCAACTCAGTCGGCTCAGTCAGCGACGGGGGGCATTTTGCACTTTCGCTGCTCCACATGTCTCACTCTGGTAAAACCTGTCAACTCTTGTAAGCTTAGAAAATAGCTCTTTAGATGGCTTGAGCACGTGTATGGGAAGTACACTCCTTATCCCTGAGCCGGGTATGTGACAAGAATCCTAATTGGTGGGCGTCGCGTGCGACGTCGCGCCCGCAAATGACGATGGTTCCAGGTAGTAGATGGCGACAACAGGCAATTCAGAACCGAAAATAGTCAATGTCTACGATGACGGGGTCTACATGAAGTCCGGTGCTCCAATCGACAGGTTAACACGAGTTAAGAAAACGCCGCGCCCATCGCCGCGCGCGGCGGAGCGGCAAATTACGGTTCTCTTGCCCGTCTCCCGAGCCAAGAGTAGGCGTGGCATTTGAACATGGCACGGAACTGGTTACTCGTGGAATATTCCAGTCTGGGACAACTGTCATCTTGTTCTGTGTTGGACAGAGACACGACAACAATTGTGTCAAGATGAAAATATCTCACCAGAAGCATAGACACCTTCAGGTTAAGTTGAAGCATGCAGCCACGCCTACCCGATCTCAGGGATTTCGAGTATAGCAACAGTGCAAAATGCCCCCTCGTCGCCGAACTGCACTCCAGGGCGCGTAGGACATTCCTTTCCCGAAAGTCGCAGAAAGGAATGGCTTGTAATGGCCAATTCAGCCAACACAGTAATTTCCAGAGGCCAGCCGAGTCACCTATCTCGCCAGTGGTTTTCGAAGGCCAGCAGATGCTTGATAGAAGCTTTTTTACTACGATGTTGTGCGTGGCTCGAGCCATGGACCGGGCAAAAGTGGTTCACCTGCGTAGACTCGTGCCTAGGCGCCTTTTGCTGATAAGTGAGCGGTGTAGCCCGGCGCGTGGAATCAATCGGAACAGTTCCGTCTCCCACACGATGGACGGTGCCAGCGTGCTCGCAAAATGTCTCAAAGAGCAGGTTTGTCGACATTCTTGTTTTCAATAATCTTTGTTATTGCTAAATTTAGTTCAGATAAAGTATCAAATGTAATAGCTCAAAGATGATAACTATTAATGAGCCAAATGCAAGCGCCCACACGCCTTGGTGGATCCTCACACCCTGGTCTTCTGAGCCCTTCTTGATGGGGGAGGCTGCACTTTTTCAACAGCATTATTTACTTAATTAAGTCAAAGTGGTCTTTGATCTGCTGTAATGCCTTTTTTGTTGCGCCGAGGGTTCGTCCGTCAGTGATAACGGAACGATCGATATCACCTTGATCAGCTGGGTATCAGTGGACGCAATGGACTGTGAGAAACCTGCGGGTCGCTCTCTGCGCCAAATGCCGCTATCGGCCTCGAGTGATTCCTTTAGGAGTACGCCATGAATTCTACTTGCTTTCAGGATTGCAGCGGCATCTTGATTCAGTCCACACAACTAGGGCACTTCCTGTCGCTGGGGAAAATTTTTGCACATACGATCTCCCTTCAAATTCCCTCCCTTGGGAGACCCTTCTCTATTCTCACAGAATCCTACCATTTTCCCAAGGATTCCCGGAAATCTTCCAGTAGTTCTTCAAATGTTTCAGTATTTCTTCTCTCGGTCCTGGAGGGGGAGGGGTCGCCCAAACAACTACTAGTTCCAACTCCGCAAACAGTAGTTTTATGAGATCTTTTTCGCGCGCCCTCTAACAGGATAGGGGCAACTGAATAGCTTTCTCCTACGCGGTTGGTGGCGCGGACAAAGTCCCTTAGAACTCCTCGCTGGGGATTATCCAGCGTACTACGTTCCTGCAATGAGGGCGCGGCCAGCCGTGACCAAAGTCGGCGTTCTTATCCTCCAAGACATGTTTGGTACCAGGTTCCCTACCCAAGTGGAGCAGAAGCTTACTTCGCCTGAGCTGCGGCGCCAGTCCGAGATTCTGGCCCCACCTAATTTGCCTAAGCTGGAGACAATCGGTGATTTGACCCCGAACCGTGCAAGCCGTGTGAGTGTCAAGCTCAAGCAATGAGGATACAAGGAATAATGTCAGCCTTTTCGTAGGTTCATAACACATTCGCATCTCACTGATTTTCTATTTTTGCCCTGTTTAATATTATATTTAGGGCGTGGAGTACATGTTCGGTGTGGTTGGCTTTCCAATCATCGAAGTTGGAGTGGCTGCTCAAAGCGTTTTGGGATTAAAGTACGTTGCGATGGGCAGGAATTGAGCAGCAGTAAAGTTTTTTTTTTTGTAGCTCACCTCTAGCTGCGAACGCAAAAGTAAAGCTGAAACCGGTTCACGCAGGCTTGGCAATCAGTACAGTGCTTCCAAGTTCAGGAGAATCGCGTGCCCGTAGTGAGGATAATTACCAGGGCACATCGTTAGTTGACCAATGCCGCCCAACAGGGGGGGAGGGCTCGTAGTTCGGCAGCTATGAGAGGGGGATCATCCTAACTGGTTTGAGTAAAAATTTCTTTGATAGTTGATTTTTCTCGCTTCACGGACGTTGTAAAAAAAGGGGGGTCGTACTTGCTCATTGTTGGGAGGGGGTCGTATTTACTTTCTGGCCTTTCTAGGAGTGGTGGTTGACTTTTCGTGATTTTCCTGTTTCATGCGTTACAAATGCCCCCGCGTACTATATACCCTCTCCTCCCCCCTCCCCGCTCGACAGCAAAATTTTTGGGAAAAAGTAGGGAAGTTTTCGGGAAATTTTGGAAAAAGTGGCAGGAAGTTGGGGAAAATCTGAGAATTGGTAGAAGGGAGGGGGTCGTATTGTCTCGCGGCTTTTCCTGTTTCACATGTGCTATCTACAATTTATTTAAGCTTATTTCAGGCTTGTTATGCAGCTCAAGCAATGGGTTACCTGACAAGGAAGCCCGCAGTTTGCCTGGTAGTATCGGGTCCAGGTCTGCTACATGCCATTGGAGGTCTTGCCAACGCGACTGTGAATTGCTGGTGAGTCATTTCATTAGAGAAAATTCTCGGTCGGTAAAAAAGACACGATCCATCCCATGGCCTTTCCAAAAATCTGGCTTTATTTTCATTGGAATCGGGTCCACTGAAATGGGTTTGGCCAGAAATTTGTCTACCATGAGAGTAGTTTGACCTTTTGAACGCCAGTGTCACGTGCAAGTGATATATGTGGTGCTATTATAGATGCAGTAACATGTAGCCTGCGCAATCGCCATCGCTGCAGACGCGAGGGCGTGTTAGGAGGTCCAGGTTTGGCACGGCACCAGACCGTTCAGCACCAGTGTTGAAGCGCGCAAGCGACAATAAGGAAAGCAATGTGGCTGGAAAACAAGGTGGCCCCACCCCAAACCCAGGTCCCTGACACACCTCCTTAGCGAAAACGCTATAAACTAGTTTTGTTATGATAACTGCTGTTTAACGCCGCAGTACGCGTTCCGAATGTTATCACAAGAATGCTGAGTTGTGGGCAAAAGTCGTGCCCCAGGCGGGAGTCGAACCCGCACCTCACGCTTTCCGGGCGAGTGCGCTATCCGTTACGCCACCAGGGCCGCTTTTACCCTCTCAGCTTAACGGCTTTTATGCCGTAGCCTTACAGCACTCACACGTTC